AGTCATAATTATGAGATTCAAAGTCATAATTATAAGATTCAAAGTCATAATTATGAGATTCAAAGTCATAATTTCGACTTTTCCAAAAAAGCAGACATGCTGTCTTGTGTGAGATTTACACAGTATTCCATTTGATCTGTCTAACCAAGAAAACACAGATTTTTCTCCCTTTAATGGATTATAAACAAATTGAGGAGTATTTCAGATGTGGTTTAACCAATGATGAAATTCTTGCTTTGCTTGCTGAGGTTCATGGGCTTATTCTTAGCAAGAGGACACTAGAAAGGATTCTTAATAAGAAGAAACTTTGGCGCCGAAAGAACAAAACTGATGTGAGTGTAGTGGCAGCTTTCATTCGTCAGCAACTTGAAACCTCTGGACAATGTCACGGATATCGATGGATGCACCAAAAATGCTGGATGAATGGTATTGTTACAGACAGGGAAACAGTTCGAGTCCTTTTACGCTTACTAGATGGTGAAGGAGTAGACCTAAGGTCAAGAAATCGACTGAGGAGACGGATTTACTATAGTCGTGGTCCAAACTATGTTTGGCATATGGACGGCTATGATAAGCTCAAACCATTTGGAATTGGGATCAATGGTTGCATTGACGGATTTTCCAGAAGGCTAATATGGCTTGAGGCATACAAAACAAATAACGACCCAAGAGTCATTGCTGGATACTTCATGGATGCAGTGATTAAAGCTGAGGGTTGTCCTGAAAGACTTAGAGTGGATTTAGGGACAGAAAATGTTAATGCAGCTGACATGCAAAGATATTTGCATCTTACAGAAGATCAACCTGAAAGTGATAATGTAATATTTGGTCCAAGCACTGGAAATCAGCGGATTGAGAGATGGTGATTGACCCTGCGAAGTGAATGTATCCAGTTCTGGATGGACCTCTTTGACAAACTGAAAGCAGATGGACACTTCTCAGATAACTTCTTGGACAAAGCCTTGATCCAGTTCTGTTTTCTCCACATAATACAGGTGAGCTTGATTTGAGCTGCTCTGTCTTCTCACCTATTGAAAATATTTATGATTGCTATAAAGTGGTTATAATGTGCAAAGATTTATTTTCTGAGTATGATACTAAATTAATAGCATATCTTAAATATCGCACAGATTGCATGTTTGGGTAGTTGCTTGATTTAAATTTCCCTGATTTTGGATAAATAGCAGTCATGCTAGATTTACACTTCCATTTTACTTTTGAATGCTTATTCCAAAGCTATGAGTTTAGTCTGGTTTTTGTTTTCTTCTAGAAAGAACTAAATGAAGTTGTTTCAGCTTGGAACCACCACAGGATACGTCCAGCACACAATTCACGAAGTCCTCATGGGCGACCATTCATGATGTACACAGTACCTCAGGCGTATGGAACCAGAGACTATCTACACAGCATTGATCTGAACAGGGTTGAAGCCTGCTTGGAAAACTGTGTTTTCAAAGACTTTCCATGCGATGAAGATGTCTTCAGTATCTGTGTGGACCTGATTTCAGAGCATAACCTGGATGTCACAGATGATGTGTTTGCAACAACTGATCTATACATAAGACTCAGACAGCTGATTACCAGAGATTTGGAGCTGCATTGATAAATGTAAAAACATTTTTGTTGCGTTGACAGTTTGCTACCTCGTCCCTAATTTGGACTTCAGTAGATATTTGATGACATTCTGAGAGTGGCAGCATTTGCTTCAACACATTGTTGCACCAGTATAAAGATGGGTCAAAGCCATTCACAAGCTCTATAACTAAGCAAGAAGAGATACTAAAATAAGATAAATCATGCTGAGCTGATAAAATAAGTCTGACATTAGAAAAATATATTGATGCATTGGACAGATGATTTTTGGTTTTGATATTTTCCCTTTATTATCAATATCATTGCATTACAGTTTGAACATTATGCTGATTATTAAACAGGAAATAAAGGAATTGAGAACTGCTGTAGAAACCTCATTATTTTTCAGGTGTGCAACCCAATGCTGGCTTAAAGCTTCCCCCACCCCAAATAAATCACACATATAAACTGGAAAAAGCGGTTTATTGAACTTCAAAATTAAAGTCTCTACTTAACCATTAGAGAAGCCTTTGAGTGTTTTAAAATAATACTTTAAGATAATGACAATGCTTCAAGGTGTAAAAAAAAAAAGAAAAATGTTCTTTTTCAGTTGTTTTCTGGTTAAATCTGATATTGAGCTACTACAATGGCACCAATCTGTTACTGAAAATATTTTAAGGTTATGTTTACTTAAAACAAAAATATAAATAAAATGCTGAGTAAACAAAAGAAATTTTTTCAGGAATAAGGTTAAATGAAACACTTTACTCCATTTCTTCCAGAACTGCATTCAAACAGAGTAGCAACATGTTCATCCACTGAACATTTAAATTATGTGACTAATATAAGAAACAAAACATCAGAAATTATTCATAAATTATTTATGCAACTAAGAGCTGCTTGTTTACAAGCGCGGCGGCCATATTGTATTTTTAATTGTGGAACAAACCAGCTTTTGCAGCCTCAAGTAAAATTAAAAGTAAAAAAATTCTAGTAACAATATAAAATATTTAAATTTAATAAACCCAAAATATTGAGAAAATACATTTTACTGCCAACTTAAATTTATGCTTTAAACTTCAACTCTGGAGTACTTTAACAGAAACCCCCCCCAAAAAACACTAGTAGTAGAGTGCCTACTATGACATTGCAGGTCTTATAAATACTCCAAAGAAAAATAAATTGCAAAAAGTAGAAACTCTGTGGAGTTAAGATGAGCTAAAAAACATGTTAGGATAATGCTAAACTTTGAAAGTTTAATACAAAAAGATTTGGTAACACTTTATTTGAAGGGGTGTGCATAAGACTGACATGACACTGTCATAAACATGACATAACATGTCATGAACATGAAGGAGTCTTTATGAATGTTTATGACAGTGTCATGTCAG